CTGATTACAAAAATAAGTGTAATTACAGTCTAAATCATAGAAAAGTTCCAAAATATTCTTTGGAAAAGTCACTGAGGACCCAAATCTGGATTGAATAGAAATTCTTCGAAACATTCAGAAGAATGACAGATCATGCGTCATGCTTCTGAATGAATAAATATCATCTTACTACTGTGTTTATATACTTTCAGAACTTTCTAGATGACCAAGGTCATGGTATTGAGTGTGAACATGGATGATTCATTGTACATATTCTAACCATGAAGCAAATCCTTATTTGTAATTCATACCTTTCCTCTTATGTTTAAATTGCTGTGTTGGGTTATTAGAAGTTGCTAGAAAATAGGATCGAACATCCACTCAGTAAAATTATCAGTAATAAATTCATGAATTTGTCTTGGCATCTCTTTGATAGTTAGATATACTTCATGTCCTTTTCGGTTACATATTATATAAGTGTTATATCCCGATGAGAATAATAAATGGTAACTGATGGAATCTATTTCTGACTTAATACTATACATATGTACCTATTGTATCATTGTTACGTAACTAAACTATGTATATTCATATTCTTATTATTATAAACTTCATTTTGACCCATAGACTATTATTATACGATTTACCGTTCTTGAGTTATGCCCAGTCTATTAATTACAGTCTCCCATATTCACAGCTACATTTGGCTAAATCTTGTACAAGTGTTATTTTCCCTTTTATGGTACGATATGGTCTGGTTGGTTGGTATATAAACCGAGTATGTTTGAAATACATGATTCATATCGCAGAGGGTGAGATTGATGTTCTGAACTCAACAGGAAGGGTTAGGCAGGTGGAAGGACCGATAAGGACTGTAGACTGTTCGTACGGGTTTTGTACGTCATTGATCCGGTCGATAAGTCGCTGTTCTCTAATCGGCGGTATCATTACATTATACACTGATAAGGGCACAAACCTACAAGTTTTAACAATAAAGCCTAATCTAACTCATAAGCATATAGCTGAAGTAACGAAAACAGGGATTGACATTAAATGTCTAAGAAAAATGGAGCCACCATGTAATCCATCAATAAAATGTAAATAGAAGATCATTACCGGTGGCATAATAGATAATTATAAATAACATCATTGTACTGTCATTCAACAATATTCATTTTCCGTTTTAAGTCCATACATGATATAGTTAGACGATTATTTACTGCCACTGATGATGAACTTTTCACATACAATACATCTTGAATCCTTACTTACTTACGCTTGTTACCTCCCATGAAGGAACATAGGTCGCTCACCACCATTCTACACCCAACTCTGTCCTTAGCAGTCATTTCCAGTTCCCTCCACTTCTTATTCATCCTTTTCATGTATGTTTCAATTCCTGACGTAATGCGTTCTTTGGTCTTCCGCTTTTCCGTTTTCCTTCATGATTCCAAGTTAGCGTTTACTTCGTGATACAGTTTGGTGATTTCCATAATGTATGTCCTATCCATTTCCATCATCTTTTCCTAATTTCCTCTTCAACGGGAAGTTGGTTTGTCCTCTCTCATAGTAGGTTATTACTGATGGTATCCGGACAACGGATACTGAGTATCTTGTTTCTTCTTGATGATCGTAGTGATAGTTCTCTACATTTCAGCTCCGTACAGTAGAACTGTTTTGACATTCGTAACGGAGCTTGTGACATTGATATTGGTTGAGAGACAGTTGTTTTGAGTTGTATATGTTCTTCAACTATAGGAATGCTGTGCTTGTTTTAACAATCCTTACCTTGAGGTTTGCATCTCTTTAATCCAACAGTTACTAATTTGCACTCAAATTCCAAGAGCTTATGTCAAAATGAGTTCATAACGATCCCAATGATAGTATTATTGAATAGTTGTCATGGAGATTGATTTAATTTGAAGACATTAATAGTCAAAGATTGAGTTCTATTTATATTCAATTAGAAACTAAGTAACATGAGACAGCCCATTTTTTTATCCTCGAAATGAGTACCCATACATCCATCCACACTTATCTACACATTCAAAATTAATGTACAAATCACCTGGTAAATAACAAGATTATTGAAGAAATAATGAATGTTCTACTTCCTTTTGTTTTAGATTAACATATTTGAATACAAAGTACACAGTGATAAGCTTCAATCTATACTTAAAAGTGGGGGGTTGTGTCGTTGTTGTTGTTGACAGATTGATTTTCATTTCTGTTAAGTAATCTTATTGGAATTCTATTTAATTGGCACATTTATGTCATTGTATTGTGAATTCAACTAAACATTTAGTTCAATAAAGCTAGTAGTCATTATAACATACTAATGAATAAGAAATTATGATGAATTATGGCTAACATTTGCTTTTAGAGAGTTAATTTTCTACGAGATGAGGTTGCTAACCCAATGCCCAACTCCTCTCCTTCGTATTGAAGATTGTGACATTGATATTGGTTCTCCTTGTTGTACTTGAGGATGTTGAAGCCTATTGAGAGAGATGCTGCTGCCACGTTGTTTGGCTTGACATCCATTTGTTCATGTGTTTGAGATATAAGATCCAGTTTATGTGAAAAGTCCGAATTGTTTAGTTGCATCTAACCTGTCCATTGTGTTCCGTGCTACCCGTTAGATGTTGAGGTCTTCATATTCTAGTCGACCACCAGAAGAAAGAGTAGACAGATTTGTCTCACTCCGATCCTTACTAGGAATGAGTCTGTCAGCTGTCCTTCATGCACGACTTTGCACTATAGTCCGTCGTACGAATTCCGGATGAGATTGACAATTTTCTCTGTTAATCATAGTGTCGAAGAAGTTTCCATAATGTACTTCTATCCACACTGTCAAATGCATACTCATTGTCAAGGAAGTTGATGTAAATGGACTAGTTCCATTCAAATGATTGTTTAACGACGGTACACTTGTAACTCTTCTAGGGCAACCGCCGGTCCCATTCCTGGGTAAAGGAGGAGGGTTGAGAGTGTGTTCAGCATCTCCATCCCGTAAAAAACAACTCTGCCAAAAAAACGCTAACCAGAATATAAAATATCATTAGCAGCTGAAATTATGTAGGATGGATTCTATGACGAGATGATTGACTCAAAAACATTAGGAATTCTCAAACAAACTCATTTGTCAATGTGAAGGTAATTTGACCAAACATTGTATTCATACAGCACTTTAATTGGTGGAATGATATCTTTTTATCTAATGGATTATTCACAGTTGAATATAAGGAAAGATTTGATGAAAGATCACTTCCATAAGATCGACAGTATTGTATCCAAGATCACCACAGACAGTAAAGTTAAGACATTATATGTAAACATTATGTTTGAAATATTCTCAGCGATTGAAATTTAACTAATTCCAACGTTTCGTCCAGCTAACTTGTCTGGACTTCTTCAGGGTAATAATCAAAATCCAAATTATCAAAGAATATATATAGCCTTATGCAATGCGGTGGCTGTCAGGACTCAGTGACTAAGTGGACAACGCGATGGCATTCGAAGCGAATGGTACTGGGTCCAAGTACCGCAGTGAACATCAACTTTGTAGTACAGGTACATTCAGTTTATGTGACCCAAATAGGATGAAACACCCGTCCTGGATTCCACTGTTAGCTACCATCCATCTTTGCTTATAAATATAAGTTGGCCGTTATTTCCATAGTTGTAGTAAACAGCCAGACCAATAACTATAATCAATATTTGGTTTATGTTATTCAAGCCAACAACGGGGATATGCAAACCGTTTCACATAAACTATAAGATTACATTCAATAATAAATTATATTAATAATCTTCCTATGTGAGCAGTAAAAAGGTGAATGTAAAGTGGAAAATACTAAGGTGAAAATGTTAATTCTTATATATATCAGTATGGGGTTGTGGAGATTGTTAAGTTTTTGATTGAGATCATGAATCGATTGATGTTAGACCACTATTATAAACCTGGAAGCACTGGATGGCCATTTCGTCCTAGTATGGGACTCCTCAGCAGTGCGCATCCATGATCCCGCTCGTGGGATTCCAACCCAGAACTTTCGGTCTCACGCGTAATTTCATGCATAAGTTGAAGTTTTACATTAACACCGTTAGATATCAGCTTAGTGTTCTAGAGCTTAAGCGTTTACAGATAAGACCAATAGGTCCTGGGTTCGAATCTCGTGGGCAGGATCGTGGATAAACACTGTTGAGGAGTCCTACACTTGGACGAGACGACTGTCCACTACCTCCAAGTTTTTCATGTTGGTCTAGCTTTAGTTAACTTAGAAAATTCAACTATTAAATTACTATCAGGATGGGTTTTGTGGAGATTTTAGAAATTTCACTGCTTGAAATTATGAGTCAATTGAAGCTAGACAACCATGGAAAACCTGGAAGCACTGGACGGCCGTTTCGTTCTAGTATGTGACTCCTCAGCATTGCGCATCCACCGACCCGCACTTCGTGAGATTCGAACCCAGGACTTATCAGTCTCGCGCCAGGCGCTGAACCAACTAGATCACTGAGCCAGCTTGTATCCAACAGTGTTAATGTCTAACTTCAACTAATCCACGAAGTTGCACCACCGTACACCATTTTCATCAGTGAGTTCCTATTTCACAACAGACCTGGTTGAACTCCACTGGTAACGGCTTCTCACTAGAACTCCAGGAGTATCTCCCAAAGTCAATCACTAGTGAGCAGGTGATTATTATCAGAATGGGTCATGTGGAGATTACTACAATTCCCACAACCCCCTTCCCTTTTCTGATAAAGTCATTCTTTTTAATCATTGGGTTTCTCCTCTCAATTTTATTGTAATCTGACAAGTAAATTATTTGTCATTTATTAACCTTATCTCTCTTCATATATCTATCTATGTATGTATTACGTAGCAACAATAATGACAACATGTCATAAGTATTACGTCGTAATTGAATCAATGATATTGGCTTTACTCAAAGTATAAATAACATAACACAGATAACAATCTATTTGTATACACCTATTTACATGTTATTACAATGAATAACAATCATAGTCTTAAATGTATTAACATTATGGTTATTTTATTATTCTTTATTATTATTCTATGTCAATGTAAAAAATTAAAATTACCTAAAGAAGTACGTGAAGTATTTCAATTACATAAATATTATCGTAATTCAATACGTTTTTGTCAAATGCCAAATCAACCTCCAGCAAAACGTATGTCAAAATTAGTAAGTTGTGCATTTGTTTTTGTTGTTGTTGTTGTTGTTGTTGTCTAGATGATGTCTTTTTGTTCGGCTTAATGATCTAGAGCTTAAGCGTTTACGTGTAAGACTGAACGCCCTGGGTTCGAATCCCGCTGGACGGGATCGTGGATGCGCACTGATGAGGGGCTCAATGGCGGGACGAAACGGCTGTCTTCTGTTTAGTTCAGTGATCTGGAGGTAAGGGATTTGTGTGCAAGACAGAGGGTTCTGAGTTCGAGTCTCGTGGGACGGAATCGTGGATGAGCACTGATGAGGAGTCCAATGGTGGGACGAAACGACTGTCTTTTGTTTGGCTCAGTGGTTTAGAGCTTAGACTTTGGCGCGCAAGACTAAAGGTTCTTAGTTCGAGTCTCATGGGACGGGATCGTGGATGTGTACTGATCAGGAACCCAATGCTGGGACCCATGCTTCCAGGTTTTCCTAAGTGGTCTAGCTTCAACTGACTCATGAATTCAACTATTAGAGTATTTTAAGAGATTCTATATTTATTATTTAAATACTGACTGGATTCATTTAAAATCTAAGGTAATTCAAATGGTGATTTCATTATACATTAATATAAACTGAAAAACGATTGGCTTTTAGTAAGTACATGGTATCTGCTACCTTAAAATAGTGGATATATCTATGTATTTTTTATGACTCAATAGAGTGATATTGACTGGAAAGTTTATCCCTTTAAGTTCTACCATTCCAAGTAGAGCAGTTGGAGTGAGAGAGAGAAACAAGGTTTAGAACAGTGAACTTAAGGTCTGAGGGTGTTTCTCTCAACCAATCAGTATATAAAGCGATTCTACCTTACCATAATGTAAGGAGTAGCTGAAAAAATGTAGACTATCAATATATCAAACTTAGTTTTGTCCCACTTATTTGAGTCCATTGAACTTCAACATCAGGTTCAGAGGTTGTCAGGACCACATCCAGCCGAGTTTGCATTTCAGAACCATCAAAATGAAGTATTCCTTTATGGTTCTGCTAACCAGTAGATGACACTTACCCTCTCCCCTTCAATAACACTTAACTTACTCATCAACAGTTCAAGACCTTTCTGATTTGATGAATTATTTCATTAAAGTAGTATTTTAATCATGAAGAATTAATTATGAAGAAATATCTCATAACTTGTATTCTTACTGTATAATGGAAAACCTGGAAGTACTGGACGGCCGTCTCGTCCTAGTATGGGACTCCTCAGCAGTGCGCATCCACGATCCCGTGCGCCAGACTTGAACTGAGGACCTTCAGTCTTGTGCACTAACGCTTGACCTCGAAACCACAGAGCCGGTATCTAACGATGTTAATGTATAACTCTAACCAATTCATGATATTGCGCCACCGTCCACCATTATCTTAAGTCAGTGACTGCTTCACACTAGACAAGATTGAACTCCACTGATCACGGCTTTTCACTAGGAGTTCAGGAAACCTATCTTGAATTGTTGTTTGATATTGCGTGAAACTGCTTACAAATAGTGTGATCTTCCCTAAGTATAAACTTTCAACGTCATGAGTTAAGTAGCGAGACAATAAGGTTATGAGAGAAGTGAACATATCTATTATCCGATACATATCGACCATCATTATAAATCTATTCAAATAATCATAACAATCTTCTCAATTATATCTATCTGACTGGTACTTTGTATTGATTGTTATCATCAATATTCCTCGTTGTCTTACTTTACAGAAATGGAATACATATTTAGCAGAAAAAGCTCAACTTTCAGCTAGTCGATGTGATTACTCTTATGATAGTCCAAGTGATATGAATTTTGATGAATTCGGTACAGTAGCGCAAAATATTGCTGATAGTCCAACAATTGAAAAGTAAGTTTCCTTTATTGATTAGTTGAGGATAATCGGGGGGTAATGTCAATAATAAATTTCGTACTAATTAACATTCACCATCAAGACAAATATGAACTCTTGAAGGAAATACCTCTCTGATGAATGTGAACCCTAGTTACATAGTTTCATGATCTAAGACGTTGTTATTGATCTATTACTGCTACGTTTGGTTTGCTGTTGAACTGAATTATCAATATTGATTGATCATTGAGTAATATAACTAGCTAGTGTTGATCATGTTCTGTTGACTAATCAATATGAAACCTATGTGGAATAGGATTTCTTACATTAAAACAAAGTCATTACGATATTAAGTTATTTAAATTAGTCTACGATTTTCAACTTGATCTTTTATTTTTGGTTGAGATCATGAATCAATTGATGTTAGACCACCGTTGGAAACCTAGAAGCACTGGACGGGCGCGAAGCCAGTAGGTCCTGGGTTCGAATCCCGCGGGGTGGGGGATCGTGGATGCGCACTGCTGAGGAGTCCCATACTAGGACGAAACGGCCGTCCAGTGCTTCCAGGTTTCCAACGGTGGTCTAACATCAATTGATTCATGATCTCAACCAAAAACTTAACAATCTCCACAACCCCCAAATTGATCTTTTATTTTGTTTTTAGAGCAGTAGCCAGTTGGTTTGTTGAATACAAGAGCTATTCTTTTAATGATAACAAATGCAATGATACATGTATGCAGTATAAACAGGTAAGTGTTGATAATAAATAGAATTGTCATTCAATTCAAATATTATTTGAAATATTTTGTGGATGAGCACTGCTGAGGAGTCCCATACTAGGACGAAACAGCTGTCCAGGGCTTTGAGGTTTTCTAATAGTGGTCTAACTTCAATTGATTCATGAATTCAACCATTAGATTACTTTCTAATTGTTCAATTCTTTATTATTATCAATTGAAACTGTCTGATTCTTAAGATGATTGAACTACACTAATTATGGTTCATCAATAACATTTCAAGTAACCATCTTAAATAGAGATATTATTAGCCTAGACAGTGTGGTGTAATTAGGTTCATCTGAAGTTGATAGAGTTTTGTTCTCTGAGTTGGATGGTTTGATCGTGGAGCTTTCGTCGTTCTTCTGAACGACATCATCAGTACAAACTGCAGATAAAAGTTCCTGATTAAAACTAGTTGAATTATTCTTGAATACCAGGTAGGTAATAGCATCTTATATTGGTCTAGATTTAAACTACTCATTAGTATACACCAATGAACTTATAGTAGACTGAACCTAGGACCTTTTACATGGTGATGAGCTAAAGAACCCTTAGATTACTAACATTATGTCCAAAGGTCCATACTTACACATATGGAAGTACCGAGGATTCGTTGCTCAATTTCGTGCATAAATATAGGTATCCTATATTAGATACACAGTTGATTATCATTGGCTATCAAATAATAGTGACCATAATGATCTTGAATGTACTCTTGAGTGAATACGGACGTATATAAGAAGCATATAACTTGATTAAATGGCAAGATTATAATTCATTTACGAACCAATCAGATTTAAGATAACGAGTCTTGAATTTTGACGCAAAATCTATTCGACCAAATAGCATTTTGGCATTATAGATTATGACAGTTCGTGATGAAAACCCTAAATCTAGTTCCTGTTTCCTGAACTTCTAATGAGAAGCAGTGACCATTAGAGTTCAACCGAGTCTGTTTTGAAATAGTAACTCATTGAAGACAATGGTAGACGGTATCAAAATTTGATGGATTAGTTAAAGTTATACATTTACACCGTCGGATGCTGGCTGGCTTAATGATCTAGAGGTTAAGCGCTCGCGCGCGAGACCATTAGGTCTTAGGTTTGAGTCTCGCGGGGTGAGATTGCGGTTGCAAACTGCTGAGGAGTTTCATACTAGGACAAGACGACCATCCAATGCTTTCAAGTTTTCCATGGTTATCTAGCTTCAACTCCTTCCGATAATTTATGATTATATCTATTGTTCAGTAGATATTTATATCAAAGTGTTAAACACATTTAATTTTACAATTATAGATAGTAAAAGGTGAAGAGACTGAAATTGGTTGTGGTGTACAAAAATGTGGTAAAAGATTTTTAGTTGTGTGCAATTATTCACCAGCGTAAGTTATAAGTAGTAATAAGTAGTATCTTCTTTACATAATTTTTTCTCTATTTTTACAATTTGTTAGTAGTATATCCAGTAGGAATAAGCTTTTATTGATTAGAGAACATAAATAGATACATGTAATGCATAAGGATTACCTAAAACTGTGAGGTTAAAATTGCCTTATATCATTCTCTTTGTACTATATCCTTATACACAATCAATCTTTTATATATTACTACCATTAGTAGAAATAAGCGTAAGTAATTAAGTCAGTAAGTAACCATTGAAGTGACTACTTCCATGAGCTTGATGTTTATCCTATTGTGCTAATGAGGTGGGACAACTTGGACTAATGAGTATATATGCCTGTTCGTACCTTGTAGCTAACTGATTGAATGCATAGGGATATCTTTTGTCACTGACGTGACTATAGTTTATGGACGACCTTTGAATGAATCTTAAGTTACCTTGAGAAATATTAGCCAATCCAAAAACAATTAGTATAAAGTAAAAATATATTCTACAAAACCAAAGAGTTAAAGTGGAAAACTTCTTTTATATGGTTTACATGAGTATGATATTTACTTACTTACGCCTGTTACTCCCCGCAAAGGAGCATCGGCTGCTCACCAGCATTCTCCATCCAACCCTGTCCTGAGCAATCCTTTTCAGCTCATTCCAGTTGTTATTCATCCTTTTCAGATCTGCTTCGATTCCCGATGTAATGTGTTCTTTGGCCTTCCTCTTTTCCTCTTCCCTTCAAAATTCCAAATCAGGGCTTGCCTCGTGATGCAGTTTGATGATTTTCTCAATGTATGTCCTATCCATTTCCTGATTTCTTCTTCAGCTGGAAGCCGGTTTGTTCTCTCCCACAGAAGGCTGTTGCTGATAGTATCCAGCCAATGGATTTTGAGTATCTTGCGTAGATAACTATTTATAAATACTTATACCTTCTTGACGATCGTTATGGTAGTTCTCCACGTTTCAGCTCTGTATAGTATAATGTCTTGACGTTTGTATTGAAGATTCTCACTTTGATATTGGTTGATAGATAGTTGTTTTGAGTTCTATATGTTCTTCAATTGTATGAATTCGGTCCTTGCTTTGCAAATCCTCGACTTTACGTCTGCATCGGATCCTCCACGTTAGTCGATTATGCTTCCCAGGTACGTGAAGGATTCCACGTCTGTCAGAGTTTCTCCATCAAGAGTGATAGGATTGCTGTTCTCCGTGTTGTATTTGAGGACCTTGGTTTTCTCCTTGTGTATGTTGAGGCCTACTGATGCAAAGACTGCTGCTACACTGGCTGTCTTTATCTGCATTTGTTCATGTGTATGCGGTAGGAGGGATAGGTCATCTGTAAAGTTGAAATCATCTAATTGGTTCTCAGCTGTCCGTTGTATACTAAACTTCTTCAGCCTTCACCACATAGCTTCAGTATTGTTAGTATGCACTCCGTTTGTAGGGTCCACAAAATGGCGGTTGTGGACAACGATATGATACACATATAATTGGTATTATTTTCGTTACCTGTCCTCCTCGCATTTTCAATAGTTGTCCTTTATATATATATATATATGTCTATGCATATTGAAATAGCTGACATGTTGTTTCATTATTCAATATTTATAGAGCTGAAGAAGATAGACAACCGTATGAAAAAGGCACTCAAGAGAATTGCGATGATGTTGATGATGCAGAATATTAAGTTTGATTTAGCTTAACAAGAACTATGAATAAATGAGAGAAGTACTTGTATGAATATGCAGCAATACAGATTTCGAAATTAATAAACAATTTGATAAGTTGTTATGTAACTTCTTATTTCTATTCACCTTTACAGTACTAAGTTGTCAAAAAAGAACAACTCGTAAGTGACAGTATTCTCGTGTGGGACCGATCGGTCCAGTGTTCGAATCCCACGTACGAGATCGTGGATGTGCACTGCTGAAGAGTCCCATGCTAGGATGAAACGACCGTCCAGTGCTTTCAGGTTTTCATTGGTGATCTAGCTTCAATTGACTCATGAATTCAACTATTAAATTATTATAATATCCACAAAATACCTATCTGACTTTCGGTTTTCATATTGGCGTCTTAAGGTTCTACCAGTAAGACTGACCTTGAATTTTATCCTGTGATTATCTTAGACTCTATTGGTCTATAACGCATTCTCTTTTTTTTAGTTCACTCTTTAGTCTGATAACAACGCAGAGCAAGCAGTAGTTCAGTAATATAACCGAAATCAATCAACTAATATAATAATATGAAATAAATTAACAGATCACACGTCAATTTATTCCCCGTGAACGAGAGATTGCTAGTAAGTGCAAGTCGTAAGCTTGTGCTAATTATGTCCCTGCCCTTTGAACACACCGCCAGTTGCTACTACCGATTGAATGGTTTAGTGAGGTCGTTGAATTGGTGTCGTTGTAGTGGCTTTGCCTCTCGACTGATGCTGTGAACATGACCTAATTTGACTATTTAGAAGAAGTAAAAGGGTTCGGATTATTCCGTTGTTAGTATGCTTGACTGAGATTTGATCACTTTTGGTTTTCGTATTTGTATCCTGTGCGGATTGTTTCAATATAGATATTATGAAACAAGTTAATATAGAATAAATGGAATGTGGCTAGCAATGAAATCCAGGATTTTATTTCAAAACCCTTGAACAAGTAAGTGAAGATCTCGACTCAAAGCCTAAGTGGATAACATAATGGAATCTGGAGCAAGTGGTACCTGGTTCGAGTCCTCGAGTGAGCATGAACTCTGGAATACAGATTTATCTTAGTTTCTAGTAGGGCGAAATGTGGGTCCTTAATTCTACTATCAGCTACATCCCGTCTATCCTAGATCAAAGTTGTACTGTTTAAGTTTATTGATCACTAAGCGATAATTAATATCATGTTTATTCAGCCCTTTGATGCTGTTCAGAATTTATCTATCAAGTTTAAATGTGGATTTGGCTTAAGTTACTTGACATGAGACGCAATAGATTGTAATGTTAGGTTTCTAGATATAGTCAACAGGAATCCCTCTCCTAGACAGATGTTTTGTGCTAGTAAATACTTATTAGCAACGCATACCCTCAGTGTTAAAGAAATTGATGCTATTTGAACCTTCATCATCAAATTTCACGATCTGGGTTGTCACCACATAGTGTAATATAGAAAAAGTGTTATAAAGAATATGAGGATCTCATTGATATCACAAATCGATTCAAATTATACAACCACTAAAAGTGTGGAAGAGCTGGATGATGGTTTCGTTCCAGTACGAGACTTCTCAGCAGCGCAGACCACACAGTTGGGACTCAAGCTCAGGATCTCAGTTGAAATTAAGAATCTATTCAAGATGAAATGGCCATCTAGTGCTTTCGAGTTTTTGACATTTGTAGAAATGGTCAGTTTGCGATTCTAATTAAAACCAACAATCTCTACAACACTATATTGAAAATGTAAGGAACGATAAGTTGATCTAAACTTTCTGAACTTGTTTCAAATAAAGTGAGATTAATATCACGACCCGAAATTCGGGTTTCATCTTTATGATTGAAAATGCTTCCACTAATATTAGCAGATCGTAACTAATCGTATTTCTTAATCTCTACGCTTTTCAAGAGAAAATTGCCTACTATACTTCTCCACCTACTAGGCACGAAGAATAACGTGGATTAAGTGAATTCTTCAGAGTTATCGATAAACAGTCCACTTCCATATTATTAAAATTCTCAGAGGTCATAGCAATTATAAACTTTAAACTGGACTTTTGTACTTGTTATAACACACGGTTTTCAACATCTACACGAATCAGACGTTAATTTACCTTAGACGAATATCTACACTAGGTTCTCTCCCAGTGTCTATTCTACAGGACTTCAACACAACTCAGATCAAGAACACGTGATTAGCCTGAAAAGTATGTATATACGTTTCCACACCAAAAACGAACACAATACAATAATAGTAAGGATGGGAGAATATACGACTCATCTAACTGTTTTCAGACTGTCTACTAATCTGAAGGGGTTTGTGGAGATTTTTAGAAATTTTCACAGATTGAAATCATGAGTCAGTTGAAGCTAAACCACCATTGAAAACCTGGAAGCACTGGACGGCCGGTTTGTTCTCTCCCACAGAAGGCTGTTGCTGATAGTATCCGGTCAATGGGATTTTGAGTAAATAAATACTTTATAGTTTATGAATACTTTGCCTTCTTGACGATCGTTATGGTAGTTCTCCAAGTTTCAGCTCTGTACAGTAGAACTGTCTTGACGTTTGTATTGAAGATTCTCACTTTGATATTAGTTGAAAGTTGTTTTGAGTTTCATATGTTCTTCAATTGTATGAATGCGGTCCTTGCTTTGTCAGTCCTCTCTTTTACATATGTATCAGGTTCTCTTTGTTCATCGATGATGCTTCTCAGATTAATGATGAAGTTATCTAGTGATGGTAATAATCCTTGCAAAGTAGTTTTCGTTCAATGACTGAAAAACGGCCCATGATCGTACGTCTACTATACATTTACAAACAATATTTAAAATTCACTTGATATTGTTTTACTTGAATCTTCCCATTGATGTTTTAGGACTGAAATTGATCAGTCTCTTATTGGCATATGTGCATACTGTGCGTATGCCTCGATATTGCCTTAATTTACAAGCATTATAAGCAAAGATGGATAGTGGTTAGCAGTGGAATCCAGGACGCGCGTTTCGTCCTGTTTGGGATTCGTCAGCTGGATGTACCTGAATCTCAGAGTTGATGTTCACTCTGCGACTCGAACTCAGTACCGTTCGCTTCAAACGCCATCGCGTTATTCACTTAGAGTACAGAATATCGATAAAATCCCCCGGAATCCAAATATCAGAAGGCAGTTAATGGACGTAGTCGAGATATATTTGCTGGCGATCTCGTGGTATCGAAAGAATACAGAGATCGTGCCAGGCTACAAGCTTGGTTACTGAGCTTAACCGGACTCGCGCGAGGTCACAATCGAAGGGAAAGAATAGTGGATGTTTTTAGTACAGTTAAAAAAACAAGTACAGTAAAACAATCACTGGTGCAATTGGTTATAATAATAATTGTTTCCATTAAACCAATTGCGTTCTCTTGTTAGAAGTAGGTCACAACAAAGAGAATCAAGTAACTATTCAGCAAAATCGACATACCAAAGCATGATCAACCTTAAAGGTTAGGAGATAGACTGTTATATACGGTGTGATAAACATCTCATAAATAGTCGCATAGATTTCGAAATCTTTAGGAACAACTAACGGAATCCAACGGGACTCGTAAATGTCACATTGATTGAAAGAAGCATTGTATTGAACATGGTGAACTCATCCCTTCACCTATGCATACATAGATATTGACAACTATGAACTTAAGTTTGGTTAAGAAAAATTCAAAAAACTTTTCATCGAGGGGATACGGAGAATGACTTAGAACTTCTAAAAGTATGATATTCAAATCAGAAAATTCTAACCAACATAATCTACGAAGATAAACTATCACTAATGAGTTCAGGAGAATGAACTGATATAAAGTTTGTAAGATAATCGAAAGGACTACTTTTACATAAAGTCTGCTTTAATTTCGTCGTTAAGAACGTGAAGGAAAGGTTCGTAGTGAATCCATCTAGCTTAGTGTTAGTTCTTGTAGTTGTTCAACTTGAATGCTAATATTCACACTATCTAAACGCCTGTTCAACCTCTTTCATAAGTGAGAAAAGCAAGTATGACTTAGATGCTGTAATCGGTAAATCGAAAGAAACGTATTCACAACTCATCGATTTATATGTATATTCACTCCTGAGAAATCTAAACCAAGATCTTGACATATTGCTTCAATTTTTTAAATTCAACACAGATATTGGTACAAACAGGCACCAAATACATATGCGCCACACAAATCTCATTTGATATGTGTGAGGGCTGTGATACTACCCTGGTGCCCAAACCGAAGCAAGTGGTTTTCTTAGGGAGCCACTCCCCGAGCCTTCGACCTGAAGGTCTGATTCACAAGGCAATGGAGCATCGTCAGGAGATGCAGTCCCATGGAAGCCGGTGACCAACGGTTGGTTCATACGTCATTTGTTCCCCCAGGATACTGGAGCCCATGTGCACCATTGGTTTGGAATCTGGTTAAAGCGCCGGACATTCGCTTTTCGTCTTCTCATTTTTGTAAACAACACCCCCGTCACGAGAAGGCAGTGAGTAAGATTTCCCTGGCAGAGGCTATATACGCGTGGCCATGTGAGAGCATTTCGAGAGGAAGAGCGGACTCTCCCCACTCTCGGCCGTACCTGGGCATTTGGGGGCTTCAATAGTTTCAACTAATAACATATATCGTTTAGTACCTCGTAACTAACATGGGATGTGATATGTTTACCTATCTCCCATAGAACACTACACCCAGAAGATAGCAATCCATCTAAGTTGCACAACATCACCACCAATGATATTTGCTTAGTTACGGATAGATTAGAGAATGGTAGAACTGTTCATTAAACTAAGTTTCTAGAATTGACTTTATTATGATGTTGAATCATGTCAATTGTGATCTTCAACTAATGAGACAATTCTAAACCATACTTACTATTCTCATGAACTTATCCAATTATGTTGAGCCAATTCACTGTAATATTTATTCTATCATGTAAAATATCCCAATTTTCTATCTATTTTAATGTCAGATCTTTATTTTAATAGTTGAAATCATGAGTCAATTGAAGCTAGACCATTATAGAAAACCTAGAAGTACAGGACGGCCGTTTCGTCCTAGTATGTGACTCCTCAGTACTGTTCATTCATAATCCAATACTAGAATGAAACAGCTGTCTAATGCTTACAGATTTTCCATGGTGGTCTACTTTCAATTGACTCATGAATTCAATTATAAAATTACTACAATCTCCACAAAAAACCTTTGCTGATTAAGATTTTTATTTCTTTCTTGTTTTGATATTTTCGGATAACACAGTATACTACTTACAAATATTCAGTAACTGATTCCATCTCAATTATTTTGAACAAGAAGTATCGTTATTTAACCATTTCAGAAAGCATCCAGTTTCTTAATCATATATGTTAAAGAGTAAAAGACAAGACTCTAATTTATGGGTGAGCCAATCAGAAGGATTTTAGAGATTTCAAGGTTACGGCGCCAACTTCAGTACTTGATGATAACGTACGATCGGTTCACAAGGAATTTTGTACAAAACGTGATCATTGAGCGGCTATAACAAATCAAACGGCGAGACTATAATTTGTGGACGAATCAATCAGGTATAAGATAATAGATCTCGGATTTTAGCGTGAAAGCCTCTCATCCATTTGGCTAAATAGATTTCTGGCATTATAGCTGATGTCACTTCGTGATGAAAACCCCATATATAATTGTTAACTAAGGTAAATTACGAAGATTATCGCGAACTGGATAATAAAAGCACCAGTAACACTGCCTGCAGCCAGGTACTACAATATATACGGATGATTGGAGAGTGTACAAACTCCTACTTAGACTTGGTTATGTGCATTGTGTCGTTATCCACAAGTAGCATTTTATGCGCTCAACAACCGGAGTGCACATAAACAATATTGAAGCTATGTGTTCGAGGCTGAAAGAGTTTTTGGGACCTTATCATGGCTTCAGAGGCCGACTATTATGTAGCCATATGGATGATTTCCTCTACTGCATGCATTACGGTTTTAGAACCTCTGAACCTCTTTCTAACTTTGATAAGTTTATGAACCACGTATAAGAAGTGTATCCACTTTATTTCCTTAGTTTTGTATAACATATTTTTACTCTATACTGACTGTTTGCTGATTATCTAACATTTCTCAAGGTCACTTAAGATTCCTTCAAAGGTCGTCCACAAATGAGTTTCGCCGAGTAAAATGGTATGGAGACCCTATAAACAAACGAGTTTCTTCAATAACTTGCATATGTTTTGTAATAACAGTAGTACTTTGTAGAAAAAAATTTCGTTTTTCATTTGGGTTTTCTCATTATAACAACTAAGCATCATTCCCTTTGCTGACGAATACCAACTACTACTACGACGATAACGACGACGACGAGGACGACGACTACGACTACTACCACACGGCATAATTATCAACAATAAAGTTTCATACATATATATTGGACATAAAAAAGGAATTGAGAAAATAGTTAATCAACGACTAATATAGATAGTTTAAAAAAAAGATGAATTTGTTGAGTTTTCAATACTTCTAATCTTGTCGTGCACATTGACTTCGATCGCCAATTACATAAGGTTTACCTTTATCATCAGCTCTACAAAAAGAAATATACCAAAGAGAAATCAATTCAAAACAATTATCTAAAGATAAGAAGGGTGAATATTTTTAAGGGGGGCGGCTACTAGATGACATTTTCAATCAAAGTTTTATATAGCTATTTGTAAGCAATGATGGATAGTGACTAGCAGTGGAATCCAGGACGCGCATTTGGTCCTATTTGGGACTGATCAATCATAGTCTTAAACCTCAATGGGAAGATACAAGCCAAACAATACCAAGTGAAAGTTTTATATAGTTTGATATTTTTACTATGTGATTTATGTAACTAAATTCAAGAGGGGGATCTATTATTCTTCATCATGGGATAATATATGTATTTAAATCTTGAACTTTATGAACTCATAGTGAGCAAGAATGATGTACCGTAAAGTTGTTACATTTAGTGTAATTGGTATTTTTTTCTTTCTTCAATTGATAGATAATTCCCATTTAAAACATAAAGTACATCGAAGGAATCTCTTTTCGATACTGAAAAAAGATACGAAACAATAGCTTCTTCATCCTATTCTAAAGTTATAAATATAGAGATAATAAATAGTCGGTTTCACATTGATTATAGAAAGTTACATACTATAGTGAACTAACTGAAGCTAGAAATATTGACATTTAGGAGTTAACTAATCGTTATGAAGCGTTCACTATCAATCATCGAGGTTATGGGTTCGATTCGTGATGGTATTATTCATGGTATTTTGATCAGAATTCCTAGATCAAAACGAAATAGCTCTATGATGCCCTCTATGTTTTCAATTATTATCCTAACCAAATTCAATACACTAGACAAAATTATGAAATACAGTTAGATGGTGGTTGGAGATAGTCAACAGGAAACCCTGGAACCGGGTTTCGTGCTAGTTGGCACTAGTCAGCAAGGTGTTCCTGTAATCTTAAGGGAACTGGTGCTCCCTGACGGATTCGACCCCGCGTCGCCCAGCTTCACAGTGAGAGACGCTACCACTGAGCTATCCAGATCTCAAGCACCGGTTCCCTCAAGATTACAGGTACACCTTGCTGACGAGTGCCAAGTAGCACGAAACCCGAGTCCAGGGTTTCCTGTCGACTATCTCCAACCACCATTTAATCTCACAATAGTACACGCAGTGTCGAGTCACTTAGACTGGTGAACATATTGCAACTTGGTCGATAGCATTCGATCTGCACTAATACGGACTCGACAAACATGACATTGGTCATCACCCAGTGATAAATCAATTGTGATATGAAATACACTTTAACTACTTACAAAATATATCAGTAGTAAGAATAAAATACGTATTTTTTCTGATTACTTACGATGGAGAATAGTTGCAGACAATCATCAATTTTGTTTTGCATTTATTAAGACCACAACCAATATGTTTAGTTTGAGCCCAAACCATCTACAATTCAAAGATTAGTAAAAGAAGCTGGTTGACAACATCTAAGATAATGAATCTGAGTTTTAAGGATTTGAACAATCAGGTGAAAATGATCAGTATGGAGTTATAAAGATTGTTAAGATTTTGATCGAGATCATGAATTGATCGATGTTAGATCACCATTGTGGGCATGGAAGCACTGAACGGTCATTAGATCCTAGTATGGAACTTCTAAACAATGTGAATCCACATTCCCGCACGAAGGATCAGTAATCCCGGTGAATTAGTTCTGATACATGATTGATGAATCATTTGTGAGTACTACTTAAATTTGAGCATAAATGTCAATGATTCATTGATATATACTGAAATCGATCAGAATAATCGGTTTTGTTGGGACAACTTTTGACTTGATCCAAATGTTATATAGGTGTATGCAAGTCTGGTTTTGAGTCTATTTATACATGGGTTGATCATGAACTTGTAGTGACCTTCTTTTATCAAGAGAACGCGATGGGTTTGATGGAAACCAATTGTACCAGTGATTGTTTTGCTGTACTTGTTTGTTTAACTGTACTAAAAACGTACCTTCTTCCGTTGCTTGTGAACTTGCAAGCACTTACGTTTGGTCAGTGATTCCGCTTGTACTCCTTTGCACAATCTCGGTATTCTTTCGATACCACGAGATCGTCAACAAATATATCTCGCTACAACCTCCAATCGCCTTCAGATATCTGGTACGCAACCTTCTTGTAATGGCGATCATAGTCAACAACGACTCAACTCCACGCTACAAACTGATAATGTATAGAAATTCCTTCGGAATTTTAAAATCATCTTAATACTTCAATTTGAAAATTTGATCATGTTAATCTCAATGTAGGTGGATTCTTCCAATGAAGCTCAACATTTGATTACATAATGAAGTAGAGTATTGAAATGACCAATTATTTGATTTTCAGATTTCATGACTGAATATTATCGAGTGATTCGAATTAAATTATATCAATACTGAGTTAGATCTCGTGTTTGCATCTTTAGATGTGTTTATGTATGTGTGGAAGTGGATAGGACACACATTGAGGAAAGCACCCAACTGCGTCACAAGAGAAGCTCATACTTGGAATCCTCAAGGCCAAAAGAAAAGAGGAAGACCAGAGAACACATTACGCCAGGAAATGGAGACAGACATGAGAAAAATGAATGAAAATTGGATAGAACTAGAAAAGAAGGCTCAGGACAGAGTAGGGTGGAGAATACTGGTCAACGGCCTATGCCCCATTAGGAGTAATAGACGTAAGTGAGTAAGTAAGTAAGTAAGTATGTGTGTGTGTATTCATACTGTTGATATTCATTGTCTCTCCCCTCCCCCAAGTTACGCTAAATAATATCACTCTGACATTTGACATTATCGTAAACACTTGTTTAAAAGAAATAATGGTGAGACTATAATTTATGGACAATCTTTGAGCGACGCTGAAGTGACCTTAAGATTGTTTACCTACGTACAAGGCTAAATGAGGGTTACAAAGCACTCTGAAGAAGAATGATTATGATTTACAATTGATGGTTGAGGTTGAGAGTTAGATTAAGGGTTATCACCAAGAAACTGACATCAGCTATAATGCCAAGATTCTGTTTAGCTAAATGGATGAATGAATTTAGTGTCAGAATTTCAGACCTGTTATCATAAATCTGATTGGTTCGTTCATAAATTATCGTTTTGCCGAAATAATCCCTCCGTAGACTTCGGAATCAGATAGATGGTAAACTTCAATAGTTTCAGTTATTTTTAATGAGGTATACTTAACAATAAGGTAAAAAGCGACGTCTTTTGAATTCAGATAGCAAGAAAGCATAAAGTTTTAAGACTGTTATAACTTGTAGCATTGTGCCCCTATTAACAATTATAACGTAATGATACCTCCATTTAGACAACAATGATTTGTCGACCGGATCAATGACGTATAAACAGTCTATAGTCCTTATCGGTCCTTCTACCTGCCTAACCCTTCCTGTTGAGTCCAGAACATCAATTTCACCCTTTGCGATATGCATTATGTATTTCAAACATACTCGGTTTATATCTAAACCAAAGAGACCATATCATACCATAAAATAGAAAATAACAATTGTACAAGATTTAGCCAAAAGTAGCTGCAAATGTGGGAGACTGTAATTCATAGACTGAGCATAATGCAAGAACGGTAAATTGTATAATAATAGTTTATGGGTCAGAATCAAGCTTTTGTTTAGACTACCACTGAAAACCTGGAAGCACTGGACAGTGTGGGTCTCCTCAGCAATGTGCATCCACGTTCTCGCACGCGGGGTTCAAACTCAGAGCCTTCGGACTCGCACGCGAACGCCTAGTCTATAGAACACTGAGTCGGACATCATCCAGTGGTGTTAATGTCTAACTTTAGGATCGTGAATGCGCACTGCTGAGGAGTCCCGCAACAGGACGGATCGGCCGTCCAGTGCTTCCAAATTTTCCATGATGATCTAGCTTGAATTGACTCATGATCTTAACTACTGAAAATAACTTCCTTGATAATTAACATCTTTCCTAGTTAGTAATTGGTGAAGAGCAATATCAAACTTAAGTTTTATATATACGAAGTGCTAGTTAAATCAATGACTTACTTGTCTATAGTTTGAACAACTTCCATTACATTTATCTACTTCATAATTATAATTATGAGATTCTCGGAACCAATTTTCCATTGCACTGTAATTATTAAATAAATATCATATTATTATTAAAACTATTATAATTTATATTAATATTATCATTACTAGTAGTAGTAGTAGTAGTAGTAGTAGTAGTAGCAGTAGTAGTAGTAGCAGTAGTAGTAGTAGCAGTAGTAGTAGCAGTAGTAGTAGTAGTAGTGGGGGGAGGAGGAGGAGTAGGTGTAGGAGTAGTGGTAGTAATAGTGGTAGTAGTAGTAGTAGTAGTAGTATTGCAAACGGAAAACACAATAAATCTACCTACTTTTCGATTGTATCCGTTTCAGCTACATTTTGTCCTACAGATTCAAACTGTTCCAATAGTTTGTCATTGACTAAATCAAAATTTAAATCACATTTATTTGCCACTTGTTGAGCATTTCTTGCTAGTTTTTTATTCCAACGCTTAAAAAAAATAAAGAAACAAAAGGTTTAAGAATATCAATGAAAAAGTATTAAGTAGTGAAATTATTGAGAATTAGTTTGATCCTGAGGTAATGAAACTTACTAACTCCACCTGAAGCCTCTCTGGGGCTTTTTAAAACTGGAGTTACATATACATTTAATGAATAGAGTTTGTTTGATACACTTATATTTGTGAACTATTATGCCCATCATCAAATGGTACATGTATTCATAAACAATTGTGTACACAATATACTCCAGATTTGGTGACCGCTTACACTGCATCTCAAGGTAAGCGCTAATTTGGAATACTGAAGGGAAACAGAAAACAAGAAGGCCATAGAACACATCACGTCAAGAATTGGAAGCAAACATGAAAAGAATCAATAGCAACTGGAAACAACTGAAAAGGAAGGATTAGGGCAGAGCTAGATGTAGAATGCTAGTGGTTGTCATCTGCCCCTCCATGATTGTTAACAGGCATAGTTAAATAAGTAAGTAATAATTCTTCATTATATACCATATTAAAATAATCTTAATAAATCTTACCAATACTTCCATATCATAAGCTGGAGGCTGTGACGGAACTTTACAAAGTAGTAGAGAATTTCTATAATATGTATGTAGACGATGTATTGTTTCTAATTTTTGAGATAGATTCTGTTTAGCACCAGTCACAGTGAAAATCAATAATGAGAAGATAACAACAGGAAAACTATATAACTGGTGACTATTTCTCATAGTTCTTCCCTATAAATTACATAATTTCATATATTATGTAACAATTTATAGTATAACAATAATCCATTACATTGATTACATTCAGTAAAAGTGAAGTTGATGAAATCATAGAAATCATTTTGAATGACATGACATACTTGACAATATGTTTGATGTTATGACTTATATATTTTACTTCTTCCTATATAGTCAATTGAAATGAACTAGAATTGAACCTAATTCATAAGATCTTATGACTTATTTCTATGTCAGTTGTCCAAAAAAAGAACACCAGTAAAATATCGATATCTATGGTGGTCTAGCATAAATTGACTCATGATTTCAACTATTGAAATCACTATAATGTGTAGGTTGCCTGCTTAAATATCTGAGCTAATTGTTTCTGCCATCGTAGTTGCGCACTGCGAAGGAGTCTCACAACAAGCTGAAATGGCCATACAGTGCTTACAGGTTATTTGATAGTCCATGTGGCCTATGCAATCGTCAATGGTTTGCAGATAGTATCTTAAGAACCTTTGACGAAACCAATTAATATGATAACCACTGAAGACAAGAAACTGAAATCAGGTAGTATAAAATCTGTTTCCGATATCCTGTGTACGAAAGTCCCTTCACATACTGTTTTGATTTATTTTTCTCTATTCCTTTAGACATACATTTCATTGATCTTTTGTTTTCGCTTGAGATTGTACTAATTATATTTTATCGAGGTGTTTGTTTTCCACGAGTTTTCGCTGATTCTCCATGTAGATCCTAAAATACATCTACATTGTTTCAGTTGATACTTTGTTATAGTGTCCTTTTAAATTGTGTTGCTTAGATTAACTGGAATTGTACATTTTTGATGTGAACTGAAGCTCTCTTCCAGAACTGGAAACACTCAGTAATATAATCAACTTGAATATTATTTCTTGAGCAGTCTTTACATGTTGTATCCAGAACGAATAGAATATCATTCATTCATTTATTTGTTGCAATCGGCAGTTCGCTTATATACTTCATCGTTTTATCCACTGTATGTAATTTAGAATTGACTACTGATTGGAAAATTATTAGTTGAATAACTGGATGGTAATAATGAACATCCAGATTTATAGTGAAATTCAGTCATTTTTTTATTTCGACTGCGCAACAGCCCTTATCTTAACTTACTTGGACAATTCATCATTCCTAACTTCTTTAGTATGGAAGTTTCAATTATTACATGGAGATGTTTAGTTAGGCCGCACACAAAGAAGAAGGTTATGTAGTTTCTTAAACATCTAATTCTCATTGTCAAGCAATCTACATCGAAACGTATCAGATCCAAGCAAAAGTAGCAACTGTGATCGTCTGTTAGATACCCCATATTTTATACGAGGTTGCGCTTCACCGACGATACTGATAAAATGTAAGTTCTTTTAGTAAAACTTTATGATGAATAACCATAAGCGGTATATTGTTTTCAAGCGGCTGATGGAAAGCTTGATTTACAAAATAACTTTTTGTGGATCAAAACCTCTTCATTAACCATTTTTATTGGCTGATACACATAGAAGTGCTAGGACTTTTGCAAAATACTGAATACATAAATGTAGCAGTCTCATCACTCGGTAACTATACAATAAGACGTGCAATGATAACTCATAAATTAGTACAGAGGCTATCCTTTTCCTTAATCATCGCTCCAATAGGTCAAGAAGTTTTTATAAACCGAGGAAATTGATCAACCTCTTTATCGCACATAATATCCTAACTGGTGCTACTCTGTGCTAGCAAATCACATAGAAAAATCCGTGGCAGTAATGCCCATTATGAGATACTGTATGGACCTAAGACTGTCTTAAAATTTTCAAATGTGCCTTTAGATATCCATTTAGCTGACGATTACAATCTAAAGGTTATATTTAATGGGAGCTGATATCACACCAACCGCAGCTGATCAAAAGAAACTGGCGAAATGTTCAACTTTGTCTGTAGCGAGGTTCTTCACGGATTTGATTTTGAGCATACATTTGTTAACCACAATCCAATTAGGTTTTCTGAGAGCGATGGAAACCGGATATCTAAACGGCTACTTGTTGAGTAACATTTCAAAATTATATCAGAGTGTTCCTAAAGGCAGATGAATTTAAACTTCCGTCAGCGTAGTTGATCTACTGAAGCTATATCAAAACTAAATTTCGTTCCTTACAAGAATTCGGAAAAAACAAGGAAAACACTTTATGCATATGACTTCACAAATAGATAAGATTTTTTTATATATTAGATGTTCTGTAAAGAGGTTAAAAGTTCAAAATTAGACTATTTGCTAACTTATGATCAGATTCTGGTCGGAGATGCAAATTCCGAAGCACTGGTAGGGAGTAGTGACCGTGGAACTGTCATGTTCAACAAGAGTGCCTACTTCATTTGTTATACCGGAGCAAACTGCATGAATTCAGAGAGCATTTTCAACATACTCTATAGTCACAAGAGTTGTGGAATATAACAGTGGATTGCCACCAAAGATAAAGTGAGATACTGTTCAGGTCAGGACATACCTCATGCCAAATGCACATCCAGGACTACAACACACTAGGTTAAACGAGACACAGAACGCCTACTACGGTTCAAAACTGGTGCCTGGCACAAATGGAAAACTGCCTTAGAGGATCCCAACCTTAGTTTTTGCTTTGTACTGATAAACAGATAGAGGCCAAATGTTCGAATCCACAGGAGACCTTTCCAGTCCAAGCTGAGAGCTAAAATATAAGCTAACCCAATAGAAGTTCATAACTAAACGAAAATCTACAAACGAAGAGGTTCTGTTCTCCATAAGGGCTTATTGGTCAAAATCTTATCAATTCAGAGACAATGTAAACTTCGTTGAGTAACCAAACCAGGGTTCTCCAAATGCAGACCTTTCTTGGACAACAGTGTTTACTGTAAGCCCGCAGAATACCCATCTAACTCCCTCTCTGCAGGATGCGAAAACAGCCGTCTAAAATCCTGAAATAACGAGCTGGAGCTAATAGCAAAGGGATGTGTGGTATGTTCAGATACTCAATAGATTCATATCTCAAAGAATGGAAACAAGCTATTCCTTTTCCATTCTTCAAAAAAGGTAGGAGAGATTCAGACTACCTGCAAACCATTCTCATCACTCCAAATTCTGTCGACGACAAAAATAACGTCCTGCGTTAAGTTCAACAAAGGTTCGTGAAAAATTTATCCTGTATGTTTGAGATTTTTGTAGTACGGGACAGCCCGACAACCTGCAAGGAGCAAAAGATACCGCTCCTTGTAATATTCCCTTAATCTACAATAGCCTTCGACATAGTGGTGCACGTACTTCTCATGGTGAAGTCTGCAAACATGGGTTTTAAGGACCGTCTTCTATCTAGTCTCCGAAACTACCTAGAGAACGGTACGTTTCACACCAAGCAAATCCAGCGCACTGGAGTTGTAGGGTTTTAACATCAGGAGGTTGACATTGAACTACCATAAGTTCACCTTTCTTTCTGATCTCCAGTGTCGACCACTGGGATAAAATCAGATCGACAAACGATACAAAATCTTGAGCTCCATCGAAAGCGAAAAGAATACGCCTGAGTTTCTGAAGTACCTTACAACGAAACAGGAATGAACTGTAGGCAACAGGTTAAAATGTCACCTGTTTAAATGTCATGTCATGGATATTTTGCTTCATTTGATGCAAAAGGTTATGTCATTTATAAAAATACGCTACAGTTGTGTCCTCAGAAAGTGATCTCGGGTTTTTAACCATCGACAAACTAGACATCAACTTGAACTACATGAGGGATTTAGGCGAAGTAGACGCAAATCATCACTTTATAAGAAGACAATTCAACGTAATCATTCGGAAGTTATTCTTAACTCTTTGTAAAACACACAGATCCACCTTGAAGTCCAAAATGTCGTTGCACCCGCTCTCCGAAAAAAAACCTTAGACCAGGTATAGAGGCGGGGAACTAAGAAGGTGGAAGGGCTAATACAAAAATCTTACAGACACACCCCAACACTTTAGATTATTATTACCGAGCTATAGGAGAATAGGACGTGACCTGATAATGGCAGATAACATATCAATTACTTCAAGTCACTCCAACACGAGCATACTTCCAGAACACGACAATAACGCGTCGCAAGTACGCCGACACTTTCATTAAGGGTTCCTCCCGACTGGAACGCTCTTCCAGTCGAACTGACCACCAAACCCTCGGTGGATACTTTCAAGATGGGATATAGCAAACACAGACTCCCCTACAAGTTACTATCTGTCCACTGAAAAAAACTGCATATGTCATGTCTCATAATTTACGACGGTTATCATCGCCTCATATCAGTGACTGCTTTCTATTTCGCCTATTGCCATCTTCGTTCCCGCTCTTATTCTTTCACTTCGGCCTTCTCTCACTGTGTGAATAACAAATTACTTAACACACTTATTCAATTATTTCGTGTAGCAATCTTCCTCACTCACCACTCGAATTATCACTAAATATTTTCCACATAGCATCTAACTAACCTCGTGATCTGGTGCGGATGCATGACCAGGCACCTTCAGCTAGGTGAGTCCATTAAAGCTCATGTGCTCAGAATCGAATATCAAAGAAGTACAGAGCTATTTATTTTGGGGATTTATTTACCGCCACAATGGTAATGTGAAAGCAGCTGATATCCAAAAACCCTACTCAAAGACAAGACGTGGATGCTCACTAAAACGACAGGACGTGAACGCTCATAAGTCATCACTTTACACAAGCTCGTGACAAAGATATTGTATATTGTTTAATATAATAATAATAAAATAATGAATGTAAATAATTGAACATCGTTCAACAGGTTCAGTGTTGGCATTGACTACAAAATGTAACCGCTGCGCTCAAAAGTGAAGTACAATAACGAGTTGGACAATCTGCTTCTAGTTTCGATCACAAAATTGTCCTAAATTGTGGCTTGTGTTATTTCTGTTTGTTGTCGATTGCTTTAGTTATAGAATGTAAGTGCATTGCGTG